GAAAGAATGGACCGATGGATGCTTCGCCCCACTCTCCATCATTCACTCCGTGGATATGCTGCCATATTTTTGTTTGTTTTCCCTCGCCTGCATGACATAAGTTTGATCTTTAACAATTTTGTTTATTGGTTGTGTACGCAAGTAGGAAGTGTCGCACGACATGTTACGTAGTTCCGAAGTACAGCGGTCAGGACCATTAACACGAGCACTTCGATGCGTGGCGAGGGCTAGTTTGATTGATGCCAGCCTGAAAGTGCTGGGCGCTTTTGCCGAGATAATACTCCGGTAGGCTTCGATTGTGTGTCGGTATTTATGGTTAGCATCTTAACAACAGAACACAAACATACCTGGTGTCAGCGTCAATAAAACTGCTGCAGAACGCGCGGTGAAGCGTTTGTTTAAAGGCGGTGACAGCTGTAGATATTATTCCAAGGTCCTCATTTCTCTGGCATATGGAGAATTCAACAACATTCATTATTCAAAATTGTTTATTTGCAGGAAAAAATTATACAGCATTTCCCTGCGGGACATACGAAAAAGTATGCATCAAAGTTCCATCTTAGATAATTGCACTCCGGAATCTGATAAAAGTTGTATTTAAAGCTGGAATAAGACACATTTTTATTTTGTTTGTCAGTTTCACAAATCATGCATCATAGGGTTAAGCTCCTTTACCTTCTCTCGGGTGCGTGCACAGAGAATGAAAGAATGACGTGGCAGTACACAATAGAATCGGTATGGTTGGTACCTCCGTGACGTCGCTACTCTACGCAGGTGCGTGTTGTCTGACGTCGCAATCCTTAGCACATGAAATTGCAACAATTATTTGACGCAGTATGTGTATATGCGGCAGTTTGTAGCTTGAATAGGCGAACGACTTGAGAAAAGCAAATCACTGCACATCCACGGAATGAATGATGATGAGTGGGGCGAAGCGTCCGTCAGTCTTTCCAAGCTTACGTCCGTTCGTTTTTTCGTCCCTCCGTCCGTCCCTGCATCTGTTCGTCCCTCCGTCCGTCCACCCCTGCGTTCGTCCGTGCGTTCATCCGGCTGTGCGTCCATCCATTAATCCGTGCGTCCTTCCATCCATCCATCTGCTTGTCCGTCTGTCCATCCATGCGTCCGTCCGTTTATCTAGTGAACACTCCAAAGTACCGTCATCTGGCATCTTTTCACCGCGGTCATATTCGCGCGATTGCCTCTCTCCTTCCCCTGTGGCACATACCCGTCTATCCTGTGGTACATACCCGTCTATTCTGTGGCACATACCCGCTCTTGCTGAGTGCCAGCGTCAACGTTGTCACCAGTGTAAGCGTAAGCGCCCGCTGTTTCGCATCTACACATGCTTCGTGTTTAGATGGTGTAGTGTTATAGGGGCGAAGCTCCTTATGGCGTGGCTTATGCATCCCCCGTTGTCGTTGTGCGTAACCACCAGTGGCTCACACCCGAGCGAGTATGTGCCACCGGTGGTCAGTGGGTATGTGCCACCAGCAGGTTACGCACAATGACAACGGGAGACGCCAAAGCAACGCCATAAGGACCTTTACCACCGTAAGATTAGACCATCTAAACGCGAACCATACGAAGATGAGAAGCTGGGGGCTGGAACGCTTACACTGGTGGCAACGTTGACGCTGGCGCTCATCATTACGGTAAAACCTGTGGAGCCACAAACCACGCAGTAATAAACCGGTGTTTCCTTCAAGAACATGTCAATCGTTGCTAATGGGCAATAAGAGACAGGAGACTCCGCATCAACACACGGACCCGCGGTCCACTTTTAGTTAACACACACGCTGCGAACTTTTATTTTTCAGTGTATAGAAGAAAGCTCCCACCGGCGCTACCTTGGAAGTTACGATCCGGGGCTTATAGATCTGCGGTTGTCACTGAACGGTTGTGCAGAGTGAGCAGTCAGTTTTTCAAATAGGAGAGCGGCTTTGGAATCGGGACGGCTGACTGCTCTCCTATAGTTGAGTACGAAGTACTCGAAATCGTTGACCACTTTTCTCTACACAGAACAAGTATTTTGCTGGCAGACACTGTCTCAGTCGGCGTTGCGAGGCGAGAGAGGGTGAACGTAAAAGAGGAGAGAAAGGAGAGCGGACACGCAGGCGCAGTAAGGATGGTCATGCCACACACCGGATTAAGCTCAACCCTGATCTGCTTCGCGTGTAAAAAGAACGATCACAAACCGAATGTTTGCCTATATATGTTTTCTTCTTAAACTTTACTGGAAATAGCAGCGAGAAGCGCGAATATTCTTGCCCAATTTCACATGTATTCATATTTCACGCTTTGCACATCGTCGTGAGGATGCCACCCCTTGAACGAAACTAATTTTCTACTGAGTTCTAGCGCTAATTGGTCTCATTTATTGTCCCGCGTCTGACAAAAATTTTCTGCGGCAGACTGCTAGTCTCGCGTACGTAAAAATTTAGCAACTCTAAGTACGAATTTATTGTAAGCACGAATTCCTAGAATGGTGAAGTGCTACAGCTTTCATGTGTTTAAATATGGGTACACGTTGAAGCAGCACTAGGTGTTAAAATTTATGCGGAGACCCTCGCAGGGCCTCAATGCTTTCGTGGCTTTGTCACGTACAACTACCATGATCAATCACATTGTACAATGCTTACAATATTATAACAGAGCAGAACCGAAGTATTGGAATAAGCAAATAAATTTTCAGGTAGCTTTGTTAATGCTGGCGCGAGGTTGCCCGGCCTATGGTATCACCAGTCGTAACTCACCCACTACTAACTGGGAACGACGAGGCAAGACAGCTGTCTACATCGGCGTGGCATTGCTTTTTTTCATTTTTATGGTTTCTTGTGTGTGATAAAATGATTATGTTTGTTGTGGTTTAACATGGGGAAATATATCCAAAATGAGAAGTGCGATAAAACACTGTCCGTTTAGAAATAAGTTGTAAACGATTTAGACTACGTGGTACTCTATACTATGGGAAAGCAAAAAGCCTTCCTGTAGACCTCACAATTGACGAGATCATGTGTACAAAAATTACACCATGAGCAAGCTCACGCATAACCAATGGCTAGTCGCATACAGCGGCAGGCGGAAAATTTGCCACTAGCCTGCTGAAATTATGTAGAAGGTGCTCCAGCACTCAGTGATAAAACGGTCATATATCGCGCTTATTTTTGTACACTGTTACCACCCTGCTAGTGATTATTTTTTTTATTAAGATAGTTGCATGCTTACGCGGGAATTCGATTACCGAGGAAGAACGATATTACGTCCACGTTCAAGGTGCTAAGTTCCTCATTCGTGTAACCTTAAGGTATCATTGCTCTAACAATGATAAAGTCAACCACTCGTGAAAATAATTTTCAATGAGTTATAGTAAGCATGGTGCTAAAGATGAGCTCTTGACAGAGTAGTTGCAGCTCTAAAGTTAACACGATTTTTGTTGTTTTGTGCCTTCCTGCACTACAACTTCTGTTGTTGAACGAACATGCTGAAATCTTTGTAGTGAGGTGTTACGCAGCGTTAATGCACGAAATGATATGTGGTCTCGAAGTAAAGTGTACATCATACTTTACCAATTATAGGATTACAATTGCAGCCAGACCTCGACACCCTCAAGTTTGGAGATAACGGTATTATAAAATTTCAAGTACAAGTCTGTCGAATCACCATGCTCCACAACCGGTATTCTTTTGACAGACATTTACTATGAACTCTCATAGGGCATTATCATGTTTTTGACCTCTATGAAACTGATCAGCTAAAACAATGGCACAATGTACTGAAACGTCGAATTCATTTTATAATAAATACTCTGAAATAGTGTATTCAAGTTGACAATAGTGATTACTTAAGGTTGTTCATTTGTTTTTTATTCGCAAACAAATAGTAGGCACCGCCATTATCCGCTACTGCGTTGTTTCTTCAACCATTTATGCCACAATGACAGCAGTGGCAGTGAGTCCCGAAGCAGTTGATAAGAGACTGCTTCTGAAGGGGAGGGCTAAAGGCAAAGAAAGACAAAATTGATGCTTTAGATAGCCAGAAGACGAAAAAGAAGAGACATATTGAAGATATATGAGAAAAGTTAGTATCTGAGTGCCACTGAACAAGGAGCGTTGTGACGTCAACATGATGATTGCTGGAGCACGCTCGCTGGGACGAACGCCCGCATTCGGTGCGAGTTTCCCCAGCGGCACTTTGGCTTTGGCTGCGACGTCTGTTACCACCTGTGGTTCGAGAACAACCACTGGGATGAATGCATTGGGAAACGCATTTGACTGCTTATTACACTGCTCCATGATCATGCTCATATGCGACCCACAATGTGTGGTATGTGAAATAGACACTGTGGTAAGCCCAAGTCAAACGTGTGTCTAACCTCATTTAGAAGCACGAACATGTAACGAATATTTGTAAAAGGCTTTAGGGCCACGTTGATTTGAGCCCGGTGCTAAACACCGACGCTGCACGTTTGAGCGTTCGCTGGTTAACCATTTATATGGACTGCATGGGTGGTGATTTTTTTTTCAAAGATGCTCCATACGTGAGTTGGGCACATACATGCCACTTCTTCTCGTAAACTAATCATCTTACTTCGAAGCAAACAGCTATTCCCTAATTTTAGGCGCGTTATGTAGTCATTTTACTATCATACATTCGGCTGCCATGTGTGAACTATTGAACCCGCAAATGTATAAGGAAAACTTTGCCCAGCGGTAGCCGGTACAAGTTTCGTAGACACATATGCCAGCATTTTTATGACGTAAAGACGCATAGGTGTTGGTATCACCTTTGCGTTTGAGAAGCAGGGCAAGAGACTGAAGGGCAGCCACCCACCTGACAAGGCTATTGACTCAGGCCTGGGTTTGAAGCTGCGTTGCTGGCTGACAAACATCAAGACGCGAGATCAATGTTACCTCAATAGCACCGCCATCCTTCCAACGCTCTCGTATGTCAGGAGCTTATGGTCTGCTTTTTAGCAAGGTGTGCGTAGATTACGCTGAATGTGATATATCATGACGTGGCGCTTTATTGTTGATATTGGTCAGGTGATGTCGATGACGTAAGCGGGGTTTGTTCGGGGTGTGGAGTTCATGGGGCGTCTCATTGCTTCAACGTAGGAAGGCAACTCTTCTTGCTGGAACGAGAAAATGAAAGAGAAAGAAATGAAAAGCATTCTTAAAACCACATCTATGAGGCGGCTACTAATTAATTCGTGCACGATGCGTAATGAAGAAACTATTTGGGAAAGCCTACATACCTGCAGTCGCAGAACGAGCACGCGTCAGCTGGGGCTGATGGATGACCTGATTTGTCTGTCAATTCTGTACAATGGGCTATGAGCCTGTTTTCTAGGAACGTTCTTGATACATTTTTTGTTACGTTTGATGCATTTCCGTTATATATATATATATCCCAGCTTACTGTAATGTAAATGAAAATGACTTCTGCGAAAACCCACAAGGTGGCAAAAAGGTTAAGAAAGGGAAAGAAGACAAGCACCTGATTGTAACAAGAAGCCACAAGGAAATCTGTACGGATTTCTTAGAAAGAAAAGCCTGTTAGTTGCCGGGAAATTTGTCCTGGTCCGCGGTGCAAACCTAGGACCAACAGCTATTCGGGGCTATCGCTCTGCCAATTGAGCTAACCAGCAAACTAGCAATTGACAGCGCGAGGGTGAAGCCATCGACAACTCGAAGCACATGGACACATCCGATAGCCATAAATGAACAACTACCTTGTTACTTCTACATATCTCTCATGATATAATATCTACAGTTATCTTGGTGAAATAACCACTTTGGCACAGTGAGTAGTACGTAAAGGCACGTGAGCCAGGTCATTAAGTGATGTGAAGACGCAATGTAATAATGCTTTAGATGACATCGTCGCCAGCCCGATGGTGCGCTGATAGCTATTATTTTGCCGTGTTATGTCTAGAAGGTTTCAGAAGAGGGACTGGGGGAGAGGCATTGTAATTATCTGAGGACTTTAATGTAATTTGAAAAGTAGTTTGTGAGAGTGTGCGCCTTCGCCTGTGCTACTGCTAGTAGTAAAGAGACATTAAATTATCTATGCTTTCATGCCAATGAGCTAGGGTTCAAACGCTATTGAGTTCCATTTCACAAAGAACGTAACAAGAAACTGATCATTCTACTGATCTAGATCATTCTACTGATCTAGTGTAGCTAATGGGAGTTAGTGGGCTAGAACTGAAAGATAAACGAGAATAAAGTGGATGTTTTTGTCTGTCCACAATCAGGCCCTTTATTTTGAAGTTAAGCTGGTCACCCCTATATAGACATGCATAGGGATACAGTCACAGTGCACCGATTACCCCCTGCAAGTCAGCCTTCGCTAGGGACACGCAACCAGCTAAGACCACTGGATACATGGTGAAAGATTCCACAAGACACTGCTTTCTGCCATGCTGCTCAGCACTGTTCTTACGGCCCGCATCTAATATCAAACACAGATATAAGCAAAACTTTTACTCCTTAAGGGGGTAGGGTGGAGTAAACGCTACCAAAATTTTGAATTGGTAAGTTTAAAACCAAAATATCCACTGAACTCTGAGAATCTTGTGGAAGCCCATGATTGTGAGCGGCCACTGTGAGTGGTTTAAATGCCGCACCAAATTGGGCCACACACCCGGGCTTAGTAGTATGTGCCCATAAAACTTTGTATTTCTGCAAGAGCGATTTTCTTATAAATTGCTCAACTTCGATATAATTTTTCTCAAAGACTGTTGAAACAATTTCAATCAAACTTTCTCTTAATGCGCTACAACAAGGTGCAAACAATCTGAACTTTCTATAGAAAAAATGCTGTTTTTATTTAATGTAGGTGCAGAATATTTCATATCGATGCGCCCCCAAGTGGGTTTGAGCATGCAGTTATTTTAGTTTTTATACAAATAGTTTTTAAACAATGTCTTATTTTCCAGACCAGATATCACGAAAGAGCCTCTGAGGTAACACGGCTTAATATCATCACATTAGTTTTGGTGGTTGCAGGAAATATATTCATTAAAAAAGTATAGTACGTCTTGGAAGGAGAGGTAACCTAGGCATAAAACATCTTGTCACGTGAAATTTTATGTGAATACCAGCAGCCATTTCAAAAATGTGTCTTTAAAACTGACATATACCATCTACCTTTCCGTACCCTTCAGGACATGCCTATGTCGCATTAAAAAAACACCATTTTAACAAAAGGCCGAGGATAGCTGTCATAACAGCAACACACATGCTTGAAGGAGGCAGTCAGAACAACGGTGGACAAGACTTGCTACGCACTAAATGAAAAAAAAAACCAGCACCTGCTCTCGCAGAATGTCGGTGTAAGCAGGTGGACTCTCTTGCCGGACTCGAGGCTCAGGCTCTGGCATCGCAGTCGACGATGACGAAGCGAACGCGATGCTTTCTTCGTGATCAGGCTGACTCATGAAAGCCCTGCGTTACCCGAAGTGTTTGTAAGTGTTAACAACAAAAACACATGCAACAACAGAAGATCGCAAATGATTACACAAAGAATCTCATCAAACAGCGCAGCTGTTATTACCAGCCGGCTATTGTAAGTCACGGACACACAGGGCGTATAGATCATGAATGAGCACGCTCTGTCTTCACCCTATTTTTCGTCTTCTGCGTCACTCCCAGAACGCGTCAGCGTGACGTCTAATAACTCCGAGGGGTGAGAGAACGAATACAGGGGGTGTGGAAGTTTAGAGAGAGAGAAATAAAAAAAAAGAAATAGAAGAATTGAAAAAAATAACAGCATATCCACGGAGTGGTTGATGATTGGTGGGGCGCAGCGTTCGTCAGTCTGTCTGTCCATTCGTTCTTGCGTCCGCCTATCTGTGTGATCCTTGGTGCATCCGTCCGTTTGTTCATTCGTCTGTCTGTCCGTCCATCTCTTTTTGCGGCCATCCCTATGTCTGTCCATCCATCTGTGTGCCCCTTTGTCTGTCCGTCCGTGCGTGTGTCAGTCCGTTTGTCCGTCCATATGTCTAGAGAAAACTCCAAGCACAGCCATCTCACTTCTTTTCTTCATGTATTCATCATATACAAGTGCCCCCATCCAGCAGACATTGTAAGGACCGCTATTTCGGGTATGTGCCACTGGTGGTTACGTGCTAGGAGGGACGCACGAGGCACGCCATAAGGAGCTTCACCCCTAAAAAGAATGCTCAGAGTAGCTGTTTAACGCTGAAGTGTCAGCTTTTTTTACAGCATTTTAATACGCTTGATTTCCCTGGAGTGTACGTATTCTTTAATTATGGGAGTTACAGTGTTGCGTTGAGTTATAAGAGCAGTTAAAATGCGATCTGTTGTGACGCCAGGTACATCTGTCCAACTGGCTTGCCCTGAACGAATGTCTCATTTTGTAGTTACGACAAGTCAGGGGGGCACAACATTGCCTCTTTCTAGATTCGCCGCCGTTTTGCAGCCAATTTAAACGAGTTTGCAAACACGTGTTGCTTACCAAAAATGTGAACCTGGTGGAATTTTTCGCGCAGGCATGTTACGCTAGATGAATGCCCAGCATTAGTACACGATGCAGTGCTAAAAGCGTCGAACGCAACCTGTAATGCCTAAATGTCGTGTCAAGACGAGATTCCTAGACGTCTTCAGCCTATTTGAACGACAAAGGCACTGTTTTGGTGATTTTCAATGCAGCATTACTTTGCGCACCAGGACGGGACGTCTTTATTATCTCCCATTGTAGAGTACCAAGCACTCAAAATCATCATTTTTTCCATGAACATTCTGCTATCTACGCTACGCGAATAACGAGAGTGAGAAAAGTATAATAAGATCCATAGATATTTTTATTTATGATATATATGGGACATTAACGTCCTGGAACCATCATATGATTATAAGAGACGCCATAGTGGAGGGCTCCAGAAATTCCTACCACCTGGGGTTCTTTAACGTGCACCCAAATCTTAGCACATGGGCCTACAGCATTTTCACTTCCATTGAGAATGCAGCCACCGCAGCCAGGATTCGATCCCACGACCTGCGTGCCAGCTGCCGAGTAACTCAGACATTATACCAGGGTGGCGGGGCGCCGTAAACGCTTTGCTAGCCAATCTTATCTTATCCGAAGTCTGTAGTTTCTAATATTCCCATGGTTGTGCAGGGCTCGCCGCGTCACTTCATACGTAGAATATTGTATGTAACTCTATCGTTTGTTCTACCCTAGCAAAACAAAATATCAACAAGTAGAAAATGTGACTATAAACTCGCACAATACACATAGTATTTATTTAAACAATAAAGAAATACATTTCACTGAAATTGCCACGTAATATGATATATATGGTACTATTGCTCAGACGCGAAAATCCCAAAACTTCTGTTTTGTCTAACCTCCCTGTCTTTTCTCATTCCTTCCTTCCTTCCTTCCTTCCTTCCTTCCTTCCTTCCTTCCTTCCTTCCTTCCTTCCTTCCTTTCTTCCTTCCTTCCTTTCTTTCTTCCTTTCTTCCTTTCTTTCTTCCTTCCTTTCTTTCTTTTGTCGTAAGCGTTCATTCCTGTTGGCCGACTGACACCTCGTATCATATCCACAGCTGAAACATTCTGTTACGAAACATTTTCCAGAAGCGTTATTGTGAATAAGGGTCCAGTTTTTTTGTACCTCCATGACTTCCACGCTAGAAGCGAGAGCTACAGTATTCTGCTTATCAACCACTCCCCACCACATTGAGTGAGCAAATGAAAAAAAAACATATCCTGTAAAATAAAACGAAACAAAACGTAACATCATTCATACATTGAAATGGGTTTCGCTAACATTAAAAGTAAGTTTCATTAATTCATTCATACAAAGTAAAACTGAGTCATTTGCTACTTGTTAAAACCTCAAAATTAGGGTTTTATGGCACTCAGAAAAAAAAATCAAGGACGAAAAAAATTTACCCAGGTCACATGAATTTATGCTTTGCTGTGTTTGCTTACAAAGCGCAAAGAAGGCAGTCCAGGGGGCCCAAGAACTGGCGCAACGCAACCACGTTTCTGCCCTGGCTGGGGTGTTGCCTACAGTAGCAGCTGCGAGAGGATGTCCCTCGTAGACACCCCGGTGGCCACCACAGTGTCTACGATGGACATCCTCTCGCAGCCGCTACTGTAGGCAACGCCCCAGTCAGGGCGGGAACGCGATGGCGTTCCGCCAATTCTTTGGCCATCTGGACTGCCTTCTTTGCGCTACTAAAGCAAACACAGACCGACTGATCAACTGAGCGACATGAAAAGGAGCGCTTAGGACGTAGATTCTACAAAAGTACACAAATATCCACAAACATTACCAATAATTGTGCATGTCAGTGGGTGGGCAGTGGTGTCAATAAATTCAGCTGTGTTATTAAAAAATGATTCCCTCGAAGTGGTATACTTGCTTCTTTGTGAATATGTGGGCATTTCTTACTGTTTGATTTCAATTTTTCATTGAAATAAAATTGCCAGCTTGCACGGCAGCAATGGTAATTCACATAGGCTGCAAGCGTGTTTCACTTTCAGATGCGTGCGCACCGTAACTTTCCACTTTCTGCTGTCTCTGTATAATTAGCAATTTTTATATTATAGTGTATTTTGCGCTGAGATATGCTGAGGCTACGAAGCACAGAATTGTATGTTCTCAGATCATGCTTGCTATGCTGGGATATGCCCCGCCGCGGTGGTCTAGTGGCTAAGGTGCTCGGCTGCTGACCCGCAGGTCGCGGGTTCGATTCCCGGCTGCGGCGGCTGCATTTCCGATGGAGGCGGAAATGTGGTAGGCCCGTGTACTCAGATTTGGGTGCACGTTAAAGAACCCCAGGTGGTCAAAATTTCCGGAGCCCTCCACTACGGCGTCTCTCATAATCAAATGGTGGTTTTGGGACGTTAAACCCCACAAACCAATCAATGCTGGGATACAGCACTTTCATCGTGTGCCTTACATTGTCGTGTGCCTTACGTTTCATATGCTATGGACATCGTTTTCAGTGTTACTCACTGTAAGTTGTTGCGACTCCGAGCCCAGCGGGTTTCATTTCGGCAGTGGGCCCCATCGTAGGACACATCGTCCAAGAAGTCAAATGGGGCACTCGCAAGAACGACAAAGATTTATTTATATGATAAGCAACTGAGAAGTCTACATAAGAGGATCAAATAAGCAAGTAAAAGGGAGCTCGCCGAATAAGTGAAAATATACAAAAGCTCTCCCGCTTAAAAAGCACCGCGTTGCCAACCCTGGTTGCATGGTCCATAGCCTCAGCCAGTATGATGCTCGATAGTCTCGGTGGTCCACCCACGAAATAGAATACGGAATGCATGTAGAGGAGGGTACATTTTAAACGATGCCCAAATATGGTGGCCAACCCACAACACCAACGCTTTGCACACGACACCAATAACTTTACACGTTCGGGCGCCTACTGATCGGAGTTTCCAAGAACTCTCCCGGCAGGTAGGGCGATGTTCGAAAAGACCCGCTTTTAGAACATGTGCCAAACCTGCCTGTCTGCATTTGGCAAGAGCAATGTAGCGGCCTGATAGGTTTATCGTCAAACACACCCCAGCAGCAGATACTGTGGGGAGAGGGGAAATGAGAGGGGTTCACTAATCTCTCGTCATTTGCAATGAGTTACTCCTTAACAACTGCAAATTTTCAGGGCTTGGCTCTCCTCGAAAGGTGCAGCCGCAACCGGTTTGGTTTTAGTTGCCACCCAAAGCAGCAAATACTACGATGGCTTCGAAAATGGCCTCTTCACCTCCTTACTTGCTCGGAATGCCTTTGTGCCTTGGACGGAGCCGAGGTATCAATGGCCTTTCCTTTCGCGCGAGTTTTAGTAGCACCGAACCAGTCCAATGACATCCTTCTTCAGGCTTGACGGTGAGGAAATCAGTCCCTTTTAACTGCACACTCTTGTTTGCGCTGTGTTGAGATCCTCTCGCCGGATTCACTGCCACCAAAAGAGTTTCAATGCTGTTGATGGTCACAATGAAGCGTTCTGTTTGTGCGCGAGTTGGTGGTGGCGTCCGTCCCTCTTGGCGGGGTTTTGATCCTCTCCCCTCGATGGTGGGAAATTTGCTCTGTTGCTCTCAGTGAGAATTACTACAGTTTTGTGTAACGAGTACAAATAAGGACACATATACTTTTGTTGCCTTCATTTTCTGCTGATGTCGATACAACGAAACGGGTACTTATGAACACAGTGGCCGAGAAAAGCATGTCATTGTAGATGAGTGACGTAAATGGCATGTCGGCGGACCACTTTCCCGCTTGGTAAGCTTGTCATGAACAGAAAACGGTGTGATATAGATTGGAAGCAGATGGTTCTCCGTTTCGCGTCGAACATTTGAACACACGTCGAGAGCGATAGCAGCTGTATGTCCAAGCGCTTCCTGTTGTGTGTCTTGTAAAT